CAGAAATGAATTATATTATAGTTGTATTTTAAGCGACGAAACTGAATGCAATTTTATCAGTATATTTACATTTTTAATAAATTGTGAATAATTGTATTATATATAAAAAAAAATAAAGTGAAAGGAGTATATCGTATAAAATATAAATTCTAAACGTATCTACATAGTTTTAATAKAATGTCTAACCTTGGGTACCTATACAAATATTCGTACACAATCCGTAATATTTAAACAATTATTTTTATGTTTGATGTTTTAGCATTTTATATTAGTTAGGATATCATAATCCAAAAATACCATAGAAAAGTTTTAAAATAATTACATTCCAATATTCGTATAATGGATGAGTAGACATTTGAAAAATACGTTAATTCCCTTTGTTGAGTTTCATTATCGACTTAATTTGATTACACGAGCTGAGTAAATATTGAATTTGTTATGTCCAATTACCGATATCCAATTATAATAGGGACTGAGCATTAACTGGGATTCTCTCCAGTTTTATTATAATATTTTTAATGAAGTTCTAACTCGTTATCGTTCAATAATGTTTTTATTAGAACAAAAATCGTATATATTGCTTTGGAAAGTAAAAATCAATAACGTCCACTTCATTATTATTCTGGTTGCGTTTTAGACGAACGCAAACAAACTATATATTAAACTATTCCCACGGGACTACACCATAAAATTTCTGTAGACAAAATTATTAATTAAAGAAACCGCCCGCGGGAAAGACAGAAAGACATCATACCATATAAACGCGGATTTTGAAATTATGTGACATTTTTTTTATGTACATACTACGTCGTAAGTTAAACATCTATTTTGGTTAATATGTTTTATTGTTGTATGGGTGTTTCAAAATCAAAGTACCGCATAACTAACTAAAATATAATATGAAAGTATGAAAAAAATCTAAAAAATCTACAAATCTACATTTAAAAATGCTATATTAAACATTGAAATCATTTCAACTTAGTTAAACTAGAGAGACAAATAAATCATACCTGAGTAGCATACCTATACATAATGAATACACATTACGCTTGGGGTGGAAGTTTTTTCACCATTAAAATTCAGTTTTAAAAAAATAAAAGTTTTTTATACAACGCGAACTGCAGTTATAAATTATAATAGTTCCCTTAAAATAATATTAACGACGCCTTGCCGGCGTGATGTACATGATACATATTTATATGTATATAAACATCAATTGGCTTTTACGTTTATAAAATATCAAAGGTACTCGTACCTACATAAAGATAATTATGTAATATTAATAATAAATAAACTTAGCATGATACGAATATCGATATAGAATTAAAAGATGCCAAATACCTTTATTATTTCAATTTCAAGGCCACATGATTAATCATATAATATTATTATTTTTTTTTTTAGGGTTAAAGCTTCGACAACTGAGGTCATTAGCCTGGGGGAACTGTAGGGGAAGGTACTGTAGGTTTTAAACACGTGGGT